CCTCTTGTTAAAAAAAAAAAAATAAAAAAATGGAAGCTGCATTGTTGAATTTTGGTGATTGGTTTTAATTATATAAACCATATAATCATGGCAAAAAATTGTAAATTTGATGCAGTTGTTGGTCTTAACACATCAAATTTACGCTTTTATTGAATCTTGGTGATTGGATTTACATAAATCTTGCATTATGATTGTACGCTTAAAGAGTCCCTGTTGTCTTGCAGTTTCTCTTCATGCTTCTTTTGCCGGAATCCCCCTGCTGGCTATATGTGAAGGTCAGAAGCCTATTCAAATCATCTATAGCTATTCTTGCTTTAATAACTTTGAGAAATTTTAAGTGGGATCAATATTTGGTATTTTACAGAAAGATTAAGGCCCAGGCCGATGAGGTTCTCTAACAGGTTTATGACCCTTTTAGGCTGGAGTATACGTCTGTAGTGGAGTAATGACCCTTGCATGACAGTTATCTGATAATCCAAAGGTTGAAATTTGATACTTATTGTGATACTCACTCTGTTATGAAAGCTAATTGTTACTAATTTGCGCTAGAATTACAGTGCCTAAACTATATGTTCATATCAATCAATCAATGCCTTAATTATATGTTCATATAAAGGTAATAATTTTTTGGCTGCTTATAAACATTTTTATATGATGGAACATAATCCCCCTTTATTTTTTACTCTTTTTTTGATGAAAATTGAAAGAATCTGAATGAACTAATAATAAATGATCGCATATTCACACCCAAAATAGTTCAATTTGGGACTACCCTAATTTGTGAAATTACAAGATTATGGAATTATAAATGCTTATTGTTTGTTTATTGCACCACCAATATTCTTCCCCATATTTTACAATTATTATTTCACAAACGATATCTTCATTTGAGCTGTCAACTTGTTGATTTCTTAATTTTCTGGAGGCTGTTTTCATGCGTAATGTTTGACAGATTAATTGTTGTGCTTAGTAATCTCTATTTTTACATCGCAGCTTTGTGTAATAGTTTAAATGAAACTCCTTGAGCACTGTAATCAATTAGTCTGAAACTTCTACTTGATAAAATATAAATTGTTTGCTGTCATATCCTGAACATGGAATGAGTTTCAACAATGTCATGTTGAATGCTTCTGAAAGGGAGCTTGTTTGAATTTTCTTTTCAGATGTCTGGTGACGTTGAAAACCTGACATCTAGCACGGTGAATAAGAATGCAGATTTGAATGGATCTTCTGTGCCTGAAGTTCAAGTGACATAGTACAGTATCTTTTGTCAGCAAGTATCCATCTATGGAGTAGCTGCTGGGTACTGCCTTTCAGCTGCTTTACTCTTGATCATTAATAAGTTGGCTGTTATGAAATTTCCATATCCTGGTGCAACTGCAGTATTTCACCAGTGCTGCTGGTGTTATAGTTTGTGGGCAGCTAAATTGGTTAGAACATGACCCTCTTGACCTTATGACAATGTGGAGGTTCCTTCAATTCCAGCTGCAATTATCTTCTATCTCTCCCTTTTCAGTGAGCTCCTCCTCCATGCCAATGTAGACACATTCATCGTCTTCTGCTCAATAGTCCCCATCTTTGTTGCAATTGGAGAGACCCTCTTTCTGCACCAGCCATGGCCATCACTGAAAACTTGGGGCTCACTTCTCACTATCTTTGGTGGAAGTGTCAAGTGTCATTTATGTGATGACAGATTATCGATTGACAGTAATGGCTTGCACCTGGGCTTTAACTTATCTTGTAAGCATGTCCATTGATTTTGTTTATATAAAACATGTGGCCATGACCATTGGCTTGAACACGTGAGTTATGTAAACAAGTGTTGTACTAAAGTATTGTTGTTTATGTTTTTGGTTTGTGAGAAAAATAGAAAAAAAATTTGCTTCTTTGGCTGTATTATCATTCAATTGAGTTAGTATCTGAAATTTATTTTTATAACATGAATTCAAGATAGTGTTTGAACATCAAAAATCCAGCAACAACAGAAAGAATACTATGCAGATTTATTCTACTACATACTATAATATACATCTGTCAACTAGCATTGTCTAAGATTATACCAGAGTAGACACTTCAGAAATTCCATCAGCTGTTTTATGGTGGCTCTGGAAGTTCTCCAAGTGCTTCAGAACAGACTGTTGCACGCTTTCGGTCTTCTTCAGATAGCTTAGTGAAGTCCATATTGCGCATGGCTTCAACAATTCCGGCTGTATGTATGATCAGCAGCAATTCTTCATTATATTTCTGCTTGTATAAGTTTGCCACGACTTTAACTACGATGAATGCAACCCTACGTAAAGTGGAGTTTCCAGACAACAAAAAGTTTGCTAAATTATAGAACAAGCCATCGTCCCAAACCCCTGATAGCCACGCGTCAATAGCAACGGTTGTAAGAATTAATGCTGGTGCATCTACCTCATTTGCCAGATTAAAAATGCAAAGCACATAAAACATTGCATGAGACAGTGCTGCCGGCAAATCAATCCTTTGTGTTTTATACTCTTCAGTGAAACCTTTAAAATCACACTTGGATTCTATCATGTGTGACTTGAGAAATTTCAGCACCAAAGGTAGTCTTTCCTTTTCGAAAAAGTGGTGGGCATAAACACATAGCATTGCTACACTTCCTACGGAACTTTGATCAGCGAAATCGTCAAGCGCAGCATTGACTTCATCAATGTTTCCAGACCAATATAGAGCTCTGGAAAAATAGTCGTTAACAGTTGGAGCTTTCAAAATTAGAAATGTGCTAACATTGAGATCATATTCACACAAATAATCAGCTTCATCATCTATAAGTTTTTTGAATATATCTCTATCAATGGCAGTTTTCTGCTCCTCCGTCATTTTATTAGGTGGTCCTGCAAAGAGTTCCATTTCAGACGACCAACTCTTTAACGGTTTGGGCATTCCTTTAAGGGCATCAACACAGGCTGTTACACGCATCACGACTTCTGCTTCTGAGAGTTTAGGTGTGTCCATCTTGTGCACGACTTCAACGAATTTGTTTTGGTAGATGCCCCTGGACAAATCAGGCCTGTTTCTCTCTTTGCAAGACAATGCCAAGGCAGTCACTAAGACCAATCCAACCACCACTAAAGTCTTGTATGGACACCTCAAAAAACGGTATATAGTACCGAAAACTTCATCACCCCAAATCCATGTATCATAAGCATCTAAAATAGCCTCAGCAACCAGGTTTGCGGGTTCATCAACCTTATCCGCCTCCTCAAAAATGCACATCACTAAAAGCATAGCGCGTTGCAGGGTATCCAGATCACCCTTCAATATATCATCACTTATGATGTACCTGGATTCCAGTCTATACTTGTCAACGAAAACAATTACATCACACTTCAATCCATTACCTATCATGTATTTCTTGAGAAGTTTCAGCACCACTTCTTTCCCCTTTTCCTTCTTGTGGTAATGCACAAAGAATATCATCAGAATCCCTAGGAACGATCGATGAGGTTCCAGCTCATCATCACTGATAACTTCAATATTTGCATATTCAAGAGCTTTTCTAAAGTTTGAGTAAACGTCCCAGGCTCCCATATGAATAAAAAACATTTCCGCAGCGCTCCAACTCACTGAAATCAAACATAAAAAAAAAAAAAAAAAAAAAAAAAAAAATCCTCAAGAAAACTAGTCTAACCTTTGATAAACTTGATACTATTAATCATTAAAGCGGTAAAATAAATCCAGATTAGTGGTAGAAACTTACTCGCTCGAGCTATTTCGTCACTGTCAGATTCCGAATTAGGTTCCGCGAGGAATTCTGTGTATAAATCTTCAAAGTTGTTAAGCTGCTCTTCCTCCACCATTGTAGCTTTACCTTTAGCGATCATCTTCCTCTTCGCAATTTTAGCGGCTCCTTCTGGAGATATTGCCATCTCCTCTGCTTCATGAGAAGAATCATGTTCATCCACTGTTTTCTGATTATCTGCCATTTCAGCTTTTTTGTCAGAACTTAGCTTCTTCTCCTCTATCATTTCAGCGATTTCTTTAGAGGTTGTCTGATTCTTCTCTGTTTCTTGATTATCCTCCATTTTAGCAACTTCATCAGGTCTGCTCTCCTCCATTGGAGCTTTTTCTTTATCGATTATCTTCCTCTTCTTCGCCAATTTAGCAGCATCTTCTGGAGAAATTGGCATCTCCTCTGTTTTTCAGAGTTTACCTCATTTTTCTCTGTTTTCTGATCATCCGCTATTTCAGCTTTTTCGTCAGAGATTGTGTTCATCTCCTCCGTTTCAGCGATTTCTTGAGAGGTTGTCTGAGTCTTCTCTGTTTCTTGAGAAATTGCCGTGTTCTCCTCTGTTTCAGTGACTTTTGCTTGTATTTTCTTCTCCATTGTTGATTAGCTGACTTTAGAGAGAGAAAACTTGAGTGTATTTGAGTTTCTGACTTTAGAGAGAGAAAACTTGAGTGTATTTGATTAGCTGATTTCAGAGATAAGTTGAAGAGTTTAGAGAGAGAAAATGAGGCAACAGATTGTAACAAACTCTGTTGTTATTATTCTAAGTTTTAATTCGTTTTTGAAAAAAAAGAGAGAGTTAGCGCGCGTCTTTGAAATTGAGATTGGCAATTGGGCATGGGTTCTTACATAGATAATTACGATGCGTTCTACTGTGCTACTTAGGGCCCTTAGGGGGTGCTTAATTGATGCTCGAGTTCGTGTTAGGGTATTTTGACTTGACACGTTAACATTTTGAGTTGATTTTTTTTACTGTGTTTGATTGAGTTAATTTCAAGTAGCTGTACTTTGTTTCGCGTTACACTACTTTTTTTTGTATAATTTCTTTCTCCTATGAATTGCTCGTATACTTTATTCATATTATACAAAAAAATTCATACACGTAGGAAAAAATCCGTTAGTATTGCTTTATAAGTTTCTCTTGCTCCTCAAATTCGCTCTCTAGAAACTTCTCTCTAAAAAACACTAAATTTCTCTCTAAAATTAATCAAAATAAGTAAATTGCAAACATGGAGATATTTAATTGTGAAAGCTAAGAAATGCCCTTGAATTGAGGTGAATTGTCTGTTTTTTTTTTTTTTTCAAAAGCTACCTCTTTGTTTTCACACCGGGTGCATGATGACTAATGAGCATGGTGCACCCTAGTATACCATGTAAATTTTATATTACTAATACTACTCATATTAATATTGCGCTGAAATTTCTGGTGATGTTATCATGAAGGGGATTTGAACTAAACAAATGAGCGTTTTACTATATTTTGATAACAATTCTTTATTTAAGCAAATTTACAAAGGCAAGGGAGCAAATTTTATACTTCACTATCCCTTGTTTCAAGTACATTAACACCTCAAATGATACATTTGTGTTCCCTGAAACTCGTAAGTCTTCGCTATTTAACTTAGAAAGCTAACAAAATTTTGTATTTCTTGTTTACCGATCAATGCATAAACTAGATACAAGTACATGCTGAAGTTCAGAAGAACTCGATACTCCATCGATTAATTAAGAGGAATACTAGAAGCAACACAGCTGAATACCTCCGAGGAAAATGGATTCCGAACATATTTTTTGTTGATACATCACCAATCTTCAATCACAAGTATTTTGCTAGCCATGGAATCTCCTGACAGTCCTTTAAAGCAAATGTCACATCATCGCTGATAAATTGTAGCAGAAAAAAAAAAAAACAGGGTTAGAAAGCTTTCAGGCTACGTAACTTGCACTTGACTTAAACTACAGTGGTATGAAAAAACATTTGATGACTTATGCTGTGTTGCTTCTAGTATTCAGCTTATATATCGAAAGCAGAGGGAGTACTATGGAGCTAAGAAAACCAATTAACAGTCTGAGTTTGAATTGCAATTCAAACGCGGATACTATAGTTTGTAATAAAATCAGAAAGTACCTAATACAAAGCCTTGCAAACAAGTAATAGTAGATTGATATTATTAGACAATGTGTACTGAAACTTACCTAGGGAAATTCAACTGCAACTTCTGCAACCGGTGCCTGGAACCTTGCTCACAAAGGATGATTCTGCATTCACCGAGTTTACAGCTGTGTGAAACCAGATAGAGTTAGTCAAGGTAATAGCAGCCTCAGTATACTTGAACGAGTAGAAGTATTGCAGCAGTCCCTCTACAAGTAAGATACTCCCTCCATCCCTAAATAACAGGTCACAATTGATTGTTCAGTCTAAAAAAATTGAGTTAATATTCTATATTTATACTTCACTATTTATCTTTTTCTTTTTTTTTTTGGGTTGCAAAGCAGGGGGAAATCCTTCGATATTCACAATTATGTTTTCACCTTACTAATATAGTCTTTCTTGGAATCCTTGGTGAAAGGTATCTTTAAGGATAATACAGGAATGTCTAAATTTAAGTTTACTAAATCGAGTGCCAAATATTTTGGGAAGGCCAAAATTAGAAAGTGGCCTATTAGAAAAATAGGGAATATATGTTTGGTAATCTTGTAATGGATAGTTTGGCTAGTTCTTTCCCAAGGTAGTTCAAGATTGTTTGAGATTTCATCATTCAGCAGTGAGTGACTGACTGACTGTAGGACAACTTACAAAAGGCAAAGAATATCATGGACTAAAATCCTCAGAGCACCAAATCGGAAAAAGGGACTATAATAAAATGAGCAACAGATATTAGTACTTACCCAACTCTTAAGAGAACATCACATCCAGGAAATTGCTCACCATTGCTTGTACAAAAGCAAGAAACCGTGAAAGCTAACTGCATAAATAATGAAGAAAAATAAATCATTTCAGAAAGGTTATATTGTGTCTTGTCTTCAGTTTTATCATCTCACAGATAGTCATTATAAAATCATGGAGAAGAAAAAAATTATTGAGAATGTGTGGGTGATCCAGAGTTTGTTTGTACGAAGGCTTTTCATCGGCTCAATTTCAAAGATATTATGATAGAATAACAGTTACTATGATGAGCAATTGTTCATCACAATTTTTAGAGCTCATAAAACAATGTTTAGGAAATGATGATAAGCAACATAACAAAAGATGTCAACGGTCTGAAGAATCCAACCTTTTCAAAGGTGGTCTCAGCCATTCCTGTCTTGTAAAGCTCTTGCACCATAGCTGCCAAAAATATCTTTCCCAATCTGCAGGAGCTCCTGATAACCTAATAAACCAAAACAAAATTATTGTTAAGAAATGTCATCAGAAGAATATTCACATGCTTTTAGGTCCAGCAAGAAGGTTCCTCCGACGTCTCAGCAAGCAGAAGGGGAGAGGGGATCATCAAAGTCAGGAAGTGCAATCAGAAAAAGATGAAAATGCCCCATATATGATGTGTTTGAGCTGATATGTAATAAGTCCAACATTTATGCATTAAATTTCACTCACTTGAATGTGAGGTGCCTGAAACATTTCCTGTATGGCTGCTTCAACTTCTGCCATTCCAACACGTGCTTCCTCTGAGGATTAATGAACATAATGAAGTCATCAAAAGTCGTTCAATGAGGATCATATGAAAAGGAAATGAACTAGTAAAGCCAGTGGTAACTGGTAAGCCAGATTTGGTCATTTGACAAAGTGAAACAGGACATGATTCAATGGTAGGACATCAAGATAACCAAAAATCACAGAGAACATAGCTTTCTATCTTTCTTAATCTTAATTTTGAGCACATATTCTTGATTTTGGAATAGTATGTACCAGCAGAAGCCGTATCAGCTGGAGTGGCCTGATTCTTGATACGATAATCTGTAATTTCTGCTGCACGGCGGCATATCTCCAGAGCCCTACGTGCATCTCCAGAAATAGCAGCTACCTGATTAAAAGATTGACTTGAATATCATCACAGTATACGGTAGAGTATATACAATGATAGAGAAAAAAAGTACATCTAGATGAAACAACTTTCAACAAAGCAATTATAATGACCTTTCTAGAAGCGAATTCCACAGCTTGCTTATCAAAAGCATCAATTCCTTTAAGCCGGCTCATAATGATTTCTTGAAGTTGCTGGAAGGTATAGGGGCCAAAACAGAGTCTGTGTATTCCCATACGGCTTGAGATTCGAGGAAGCAATTTCTCAGGAAGGTCCATTGTATTAGCTATTCCTGCAAACAGGGTATGGATTATGTAGTGAGTATTGACTGTCACGACTCTCATTTGAGACATTATACTACAACAAGAAAGGAGTGAATTTTTGCACATCAGAACAAAGTCTAAGCCCTGAGAAGTGACAAGTACAAGCAAAATTCTACCTATCACAATGAGCTTGGAATTTGGTCTAGTTGGCCAATCAAGAATGTTATAAAGAACCTGAAACAAACGGAATGGCCAAAAAATTAGTTTCCTAATGACAAAGTAGAGCTACTAGAAAATATAAAGGTGCAAAAGTTACCGATTGGTTTCTGGTTACAAGAAGATCAAGTTCATCAATGAGAAGAATGCATGGTTTGTTCTGTCCTTTGCCTACTTGTTTCCCTTCTGAGAAACGCTCATTGAGGAAGTGCAGGGCCTTTTTCCAACTGACTCTATGTCCACTCAGTGCTTCATAAATAACCTGTTAGGAAATTTTGAGTTCAGATTCTAGTTCACAAGTATGGTATGTTGATCAAGGTACTTTTGCAACAGTCTACCCTGTATATATTCTCTGCCGTAGCTAGTTTCAGACCATTAATCTCTATGAAACTGTAGGGTTTAATACTGCCAGACTCAAGTTCAGACTTAAGGCTTCTCATCACAGCAAGTACACTCATAGTCTGCAACATGATACAAGTGATGGTTGAGCAGATGTGATGATATTTGGTGCATCAAAGATCTTAGAGAAGGGTAAAGGAGTCGATGCAATTACTTTACCTTTCCAGTCCCAGGAACACCATGAATGTACAGGCAACGTCCAAGACATTGATCATCACATATAGCACCTTTTATAAATGCAGAGATCTCTTCCATTTCTCTGAGTAAAAACATATATCAGTAAGAAGTGAAAAAAAGACAGAGTGGAGCAAAACATTCAGCTTATGCATACTTGTTGCGGCAGGGAAGTGACTTCGGTAAAGTTGCTAACAGCAGCGTCTGTTTGGCCCTTTCAAGTCCTGTTTGTTTATGACATCTTACATGCTGCGGAATACTCTTTGTACCTATTTTCTGAAGTCCAAAGATGCGTCCCTTCCTTGAATTCTGATATAAATTAGGATTAGATGGATTCAATTTTCAAATCAAGTAGGAAGTAGAGCAAATTTAGTTAAGAGAATCTTGACCATACAGCAGCTAACTCTTGAGATGATGGTCCAGAAGATTTTTTCCTTTCAATCTCCTCCTCAAAGTCCATATCCTCCTCTGACTCATACTCTAAGTCCTTTGTAGATTTCCAATCTTCATCACTAGCACTATCATCATCATCATTATCGTCATCCTGTAAAATGAAAAATAAGAGGTACTGTCAAGCTTCAACAAGCCTCTGGCCACTGGGCACAAAACTTATTGAAGGCTTACCTCTTCTAAATCATTTATCTCTGCAAGCCGCTTGAAAGAATGCCAACGTATGTCATATTCATACTCACAAAAGAAGACATCATCCCCTTCATTTTGGGCCTTAGCATACTCTTTTGGACTGAATACATAACAGTGCCTAAATACAGATTCCATCTGCAGCAGCAATTAAGCAGAAAGTTAAGATTCAAATACGTAACTAAAATCCGAGTAGTCTGCACTTTTTATTTACAAATAAAAGTCATTATATACACTAGCTGAGAGGCTGCAATGCAGCAATGCAAACTACCATGCAAAAAGTCCTAGATACTAATCAGAGAGATAGATCAGAATAGGATGCAACCCTGGCTAGAATATCAGAATCACTCTCATAGAACCAACCTTACTATAAGCAATTTGTTCAAATGTTGGACTTGGGGACACAATACAAACATGTTTTTCAATTGACTTTATGGTGGACTCATCAGCCATAACATCTGTTTCCCAGATTTCATTCCAAGGGAACTATGGCAAATTTATCTAAAGTTTCAGCACTAGTCAATATTTCCAGGTTAGGGATTTTGAGATGAAATTTTTAACAAAATAGCTATTGAAATTATAAAACAAGCTATACAGTCTGCCTCATTAGAAATACATCAGATAAGTATTTCAATTCCTATGTATAAAAATGGCAACTATTGAGGTGGAATCACCTCATCACTTTCTTACTAGAAAACTACGAGTAGTGACTTTGGCATTACTCTTGAAGAATATCAGGTACCCAAACATGTTCAACCCACTAAAACATCCCAGTAGATATTCATCTATCTTCAAACATAAACAACAAGCATCTTCTATATTAATGTGATGACTAATTCGACTTTATTTTGATCTTGATGGATCAGGTGAGTTAAGATTCTATATATCCATCTTTAATTTTCTTATCCTTCTGATTCCCAAGTCAGGTCAAAATGATGTCAATATTGGATGCTTTCATTGTAGCCATTGTGAAAATTTAAAATAGAACCAAATTTAGTGGTTCCTCTCTTCCTTGTCTTTGATCCATACCAGTATTAAGATCTTTCATAAATCATAACACTCCATCATTCTCCTATGAAACTAGAGACCCATGTTAACAAAAGGAAACAAAAAATGCACAGGAATTCGAAATCCAACTCATGCTACCTCTACATCAGCAAAATCATTGGTACGATAAAGCTCTCGCCTCAAATTATGTGGCTGTCTCCCAGCTTCAGTCTCCTCCGGGATCATGTACCAATGTGCCCGAAACCAAAAGGTTCCATCCACTTCTTTCCATATACTGCACAATATCACCAAAAGCTCAGCCACATTTTAAAAACCAAATCATCAAACTACTATTCTAACCCCAATTATAATTATTGATCAAATTCAAAACCCAAATCATCAAACTTTATCTTTATCCCACATATAATTATTGATCAAATTCAGAAACCAAATCATCAAATTACCACCTTTATCCCACATATAATATTGATCAAATTCAAGAAATAAAAAACATTAAACAAACAATGCTATAACAAAATCAAAAGACAATATACCTCTCAATCCTAGCAGCCCACAAATCACTTGTAAGAAGCTTTTCTTTCAAAGTCCTAACCCTCTTCTTACCCTTTGGTGGCTTAGGAAGCTCAACCTCCTTACCCGATTTCTTAGCCTCACAAAACACACACATCCAATCACCTTCAGGAACCTCTTTCAATGGAGGCTTTAAGCACTTCAAATGAAACCCACCAAGGCAATCGTCGCACTCGATCATCACCGCCTTTCCGCCTCGAAAACACATCTTGCATTCCTCCACCTCAGGGTCCTCTTCATCGGAGCTCGCATTCTCTCTCCTCTTCACATAAACATCATCCCCCACTGCGAATTCACTCTCATCATACTTTATTTTCTTATAATAGACCCTTTTCTTAGGCACATTTTGAGCTCGAGCTCGAGTTTTTGCAACATTTTCCGATTCAACCCCTCCATTTCTCTTCCTTTTTTCAGACAAGGCAGGAGACTTTGGTTGAATTGGTTCAAGGTTCGATATCTTCTCACTCCGGTTACTGCTAGATTTGGATTTTTTAGCAGATTTGGGGGTTTTGGGAGATTTTTCTAGGGTTTTGGGGGGTAATTGATTAATGGATTTTTCTGGGGTCGGAAAAAAAATCATCGGAATTAAGCGATAAACGACGAGAAGATCGACGAGGTGGAGTTGATTCAGTTGGTGATGAAACGAGGCGAGTATAACGGCGAGATGGAGTTTGAGTATTAGGGGTTTGAGGAGAGAGAAAAGAAGGTGAAATTGGGGGTTTTGATTTGCTTTTAAGATATGATTGATTATTGATTTTGATCGGAGTTTCCGCCATTGAAGCTCTGCCAATGAAGGTATTGAGAAAATTGTGAAATTAGGAGAGAGAAAATGGAGGAAGAAGGTGAGATAGAGCTGAGGAGAAAGAGAGTGAGTGAGTGAAATTTGGCGGGAAAATTGGCCTTCCTTTTATAAGGGTTACCTTTATAACATTGAGCCGTTGGGCTACTAAAGTCCAAATTTAGTGGATTTATTTTTTATTTTTTATTTTACTTTTATTTTTTCAAAACTCCTCTTCTATTAAAGTCAGTGACTAGTTACCACTAGGGATGTCAATTCAATCCGAGTTCGATTCAAATCTGATCTAATTCGAAGAAAAAAATTCGATCCGAATCTGTTTAAAATTAGCCCAAATTCGAATTCGATAAAATAGATCTAAATCCAAATAGGTGGTGGATCAGACTTGTACTCTACGTAAAGTCCGACCCAAGTCCGAGTCCGAGAGTATGAGCATATGCTTTATAACTTGAGACAATTGCTTGCTTGTTTTGTGGCCAAATTTTGTTATGTAACTTAGTTCATAATTTAAATATGTTATGTTTATACTTTACTCGGTATGACAATACAAGCAATTATAGATATATCATACTTTACAAACAAAAAAAAAGGCTCATTTCAGAGGTCCGAATAAACGGACCGGATTCGAATCCAAAATTACGAGTCGAATTAGACTCGAATTCGAATTTTTCAAATTCGGATCCGAGTTCAGGGTTCGTTTACTAAACGGATCGGATTTGGATTTAGCCGCATCTGACCTGAATCTGATCCGTTGCCAACTTGTCATTACTAGTCACTACTACTCCCTACGCCCTAAAATATTTGGAACGTTGAACTTTTTTTTTTTTGAGGAAAACCGGCCGAGATATTATTAAATACGATCAATTTCCGCCAAAGTATTAAGATTTTAAGGAAAAGGACCCAAACATACATATTCATCGTTACCCCTTGTATCCTACCTCGCAACAAGGTGAGCCAAGGTGTTCCCCGCCCATTTTACATTTTTACATGAGTAAAAGCAAAAACATCAATACTAGAAGAAAGACTAATAATATCATCAATGAAGAGGAAATACGGAGAGAAGCCCACCACATTCTTCTTGCCGTCCGAAACCACCACACTAGCATCACTTTGAAGCTCAACCTTCGCAAAACCCAACCTTCTAGCCAACCTGACCCCAAAGCTACAGGCAGCAGCCTCTGCCATCTCCACAGCCCATCCTACTCCTTCCCTTCGAACAGCAGCAGCCAATAACTCCCCATTGTCATTCCTAATAACCACCAAATCATCCTTCGAAACATTGCTAGTGAACCACAGCAGCCTAGAAGCAAAATTAGAGGTTGGAGCAGAGCTTAAAATACCTCCGAAGTTGCTGACATCCCATATCTTCTTCGCTGAGCTGCAATCAAAGATCGTATGCATTATGGTCTCATCCCCAATGCCACAAACCGAGCAGGTCTTGTCTTGCAGGATATGTCTATGGTATAGTCTCTCCCGGATAGCAAGAAAGCCTTTGCAGGCTCTCCATAAAAATTGACAGAGCTTGGGAGGAGCTTTTAAGTTCCGGATCACCTTCCATACATCATCCCACACGTTCCCTTGCACAGCCGAATTAACATTCTTGCTCAGCCAATACCCCGAACGTACACTATACTCCCCACTTCTCGAAGGACACCAGAACATGGAGTCTTTTGGGCATTTGGTTGACAGAGGTATAGAAAGAACTAAAGCACACTCGCTGGCATTGAAAGTACTTCTTGGACGTTGGACTTTTTTCGCTATTTATATATTAACTTTAAAAATTATTTTTTATCCACATAATAAGAACATATTTTTATCATAAAATATGTTGGTAGATAGGTAATAATATAAAGTTTCATAATGTAATTTGTAAAATAACTTTCATTAATATTTAATCATATAAAATAAAGTCAAATTAGTGCATTAGCATATGTGCAAAGTTGACTGTATCAGATATTCTGGAATAGAGAGAGTAGTTCACTACTATTTTGTCTAGCTTCCGTTTCACTAAAATAGTTACGAGTATATGAGTACTTGTATTTCCACGATTTTCACTACACATCTGACTTTATAAAAATTAGGATAATCTCAAAATACTTATTGAGACGAATGAAACAGAACTTTCCGTAATACTTTGATGATTTTGTGAAAGGTGTATATGGAGTACATGATATATTCGGTCGAAAATTTCAATTTTTTTTTCCAAATACTACCTCCGTTTCTGAAAGTTCGACTCACTTACTATTCATATCGTCAAAATAAAATAAATTTGACCACATTTTATGAGCTATACAATATAAATAAATTAGCATGTGAGATCATATTAAATTCCCCTTATTATAAATAATCTAAATATGAACTTTTTACAAATTTCACTTATACACAACCGAAGTTATTTGATTATACTCTATCATGTAATCATGGATCATCAAGAAATCCCTAAATGCTTTTTTATATTTCGCCACGGAAAAGGTTCAGGTAGGGAGAACTCTTAGATTCTCAAGTTTTATAGAGTCTTTATTAAAATCCATCTCCACCTATGTTGTGTCCTTTATCCCAAACCCCAAACATTCCGGCATCTGTTATTCTTGGTCTCGCCCTGTGAAGCAAAGTCGGACATAGAATTGATAGGGAACCGTAGCCAAGTGGCTAAGGCATGAGTCTACAAAACTTCTATTCGTCGGTTCGAATCCGACCGGTTCCTACAGCGCCATTCTATCAATCATTTTTTTACATGGTTAGTGGATAGAACAGGGACCCCCGGATCAAAGGTTCAAAGCCGATAATTCTTGGAGTGAGACTTTCTTTTTTCAAGCGGCTTGACACAGTAGTTCTTTTTTTCCTCCGTCAGGTCTGCCCCTTCTTTCTATCCTTAATAAGAGTGTCATCCATAAATTAATTTTTTTATTTGCCATGCTTCTTGTTGAAAGGAGGAGGTATAAGGCCAAAAAGACTAGTGTGACATAATCTGCCAGTTTTCATTCGAGAATAGGATGTCGAATCGAATGGATGGGCTTAATATAACATATAGCTTGCCCTGTCCTTCCTAACCTTCCGAGAGCTTTCCTGACTGGCATTTCAACTGGGCTTGACTAAAAGGGGTTGCCCGGTTCTGATCCTCTTTGTACTTGTCTCAAGCTATAAAAAAAGGCAAAAAGGGGAACAGAGGTCTTCTGAATTTTTTTGAGCGAAGAACGACGATTCCTCAAAGAGAACCTTCCTGACGAAGGTTTACTCAACACCCGGTTTGAACACCCTTTCCGTTCTGCCCATTCACGGAGTTTCACTCGCTACTGGAAAGGCGGAATCACAACATCCAAGCTTTTGTCTCTCAACTCGCCTCTGACTTTGAGCTTGGTCCCTTCCCTTTCCATCCTCCTACTTGTAGCTCCACCTGGCATTTCAAGACCGGGGTTGGCGCGAGGCAGGAAGCTACGATGTCGCGTTACGATCTGGTGCGACGATTTCCGAAAATGCATTCGAACGATTGTCACTGATTTGATTGGACTTCGTATCTAAGGCACTTGTTCCACTCCAAAAACCAATGCCTTGCCACTTGGACTACATGCGCAGTCTGAGATGTAAAACCACCTGACCTTTCTGAGTCGCTTACTTTAGCTTCCCCTCCCGCCGCCCATGGAAAAAAATTCCTTTATTAAGCTTCCATACTTGTACCCAAGTAAGCAAATAGGAATTACCATAGTCTATCAAGTAAGTGAGTTTAAACCATCAAGTAAGCAAATTGGAGACCGCACAATTACAAAGTGAGTCGAACTTTTAGGAATAGAGGGAGTAGGTATAATCTTCTAACCGTTTAAATGAAACAGGTGGAATTAATATATGTTGCACCTTGATAATGGTGCATTTACATGGTGCTTTTCAATACATACACATTATTTCTTATTACGGAGTGTCGTCATTAAAGTTTGTTATGTGTCGTTACTTTCTATTTCCTTGTGGATATTACTCCATGTGATTCAACTTTTTCCCTGCCTACAATTTTTTCTGTTTAAGGCTATGTTCAATTTACATGATATAATTTTGATATAATATGAATTTTCTAATTGGGTTTGATTTTTAGATTTGACCTAATTTATACGCTAATCTATAAGATAAAAAAAAAAATAAAAAATCATCAAATAAGATGTCATTAAATTCTTATTAATATGTACTTTTCAAACATGAAATTTTCTTATTATTTTTTAAATACGAAAATAAAAATATTCAATGATAAATAAATGCAAATAAAAATATAACATTTGATGTGACTGTTTCTAAAATAAGTTTATATCATTTCCTCAAAAAATAAAAAATGTTCATATCAACTTAAATAAGTTAAATTATTGAACATAGCCTAAAAGTATAATTAAACAAAAAAAAAAGAGTATATATAAAAAAAAGAAAAAAAAAAGAAAGAAGGTATAATTAAACAATGATTTTAGAAATAATGTGTGTAATTTTCAATATTTGATACACTTTACAATAAATTAAAATTCATTTATCATATACTTATACAACTTATTAATTAATTGAAGTAGATTTTGAAAATAACAATAATCACATCATATGAGTATTATATTGTAATCCTTAGTTTTTCACCTCACACATCACAATTTTTTTTTTTTTTTTACACCGGTTTAAATAAATATAAAAGTATTAAGGCTAGTATATAATGGTAGCACAACTACTACTTTAAGTTTAATGAATGCTTAGATATTGGCAGGAAGTTTCTTAGGCTTCTTCAAACCCAAAACGATGAGGAGAACATTGAAGTATTTGAAAGCAAATGCTGCTCTTAAGAGTTCTAGCTTCTTATTGGTCCACGGAGGATACCGGAACCAAAAATCTGGGAATAAGGCTCTCTTCAACACTGGCTTCTCATGGGTGAATGTGTCAAATGAAAATTTGCCATGGTATCTTCCATATCCGCTTTCTCCCACCCCTCCAAACGGAACCGTGTCAGCTGCATACTGCATTGTGTAGCGAATAAAAGTTACACATACATCGACTTTTGTATGTCAACATTAGTGGTGGATCGAGGAATTCTTAGAATTGGAATGCATGTTTTATTGAAAAATAATGCATAAATAATTACATATACTACGTAACCGTTACCATTTATTTCAATACACCACGTCACCACTTATGCTTTTTTTTTTATCAATAATGCTTGGTAACACCATATGGTATGAGATTGAAACTCTAATACTCTATGGATTATGTACAAATATTTTATTTCCAAATATATACTTTTTGTATTTTTGATAATTGAAATTTATGTTTGATATCATGTATTGACAAATGTATCAATTAAAAAAATGGATGAAGTATACACCTGAACAATTGTGTCATTGAACAAGAGTGAACCCAAAGATGTCTCAGATGTAATTCGTTGCATGAATTTATTGTTGCTAGTGAAACAATATATTGCGAGCGCCTTCGGCCTTGAATTAATGAAACTTATACTATCTTCAATTTTCTCTACCTGTGTTCACAAAATCACAATTCACAATAATATTGTTTTGATTAATAAATTTTTTGATCATAAAATTATTATTGGTTGAATTAATATTGTTTT